GAGAGCTCTCAGAGCGCCTGGTGGGTAGGCAACAACTCGCCCGCTGTGCACGCGTACACCGCGGGCCGGCCTACCCCGAGTCTCACAGGCGCCGATAGCTCCACACCCACCGTGTCAAATCAACGTCCGGAAAACGAACCTAAACTTTCTATGAAAGATCCTTAGAATAATGAACGTGTTTTGTGCCAGCCACTATGCGCGAGTGTTGTGTGTGAAGGGAGGGTTATATACAGGCACAGCGACCCGACGACGGGACTTCGGGACGGAGCGCGGGAAAAAGGGGGAGGGGGGTGGTCATGGCATCCTCCCCGGAATGCCTTGGACGAGGTATATACGGGAGGTCAAATCGCACCCTGCCCCTTGCTTTCTGGCATCGCTCTGCTTTCTGGAAGGAATGAGGGGGACGGGGCGGACGGACTTTTAAAAACTCCCATCTTCCTACTGTTGGTTATTTGTTTCGTGTGGACACTCCAAGTTTGGCACTCACTCCCGAGCAGTCGTACGACGTCGGCACTAGTAGAGGTAAAAATTTCCAAAATTTTCGGAAAAACTACCGCGAATTTCCGGGATACAACACAAATCTTCCAAAGTCTGGGAAATTTTCAATTTTTTCCCTGAAATTTCTGTGTACCTGAAATTTTCCTGGAATTTCCTGTTTCCCCGAAATTTTCCTGAAATTTTGCGGAAACTTTCCATGACTTCCAACCCTAGGCACTAGCCGTCGCCTTCGACCGGATAGCTGTAATAGATAGCTGTAATAAACACGCGTGGCTACGCATCCCCCTCTCTACCCCCCCCCCCCCCTCTCCAATTCTTGCCAATCCACCCCGATGAGTCAGTTTCAGTTTCACCTTCCCAGGGGATTGCACGCGCCGTCAGCTCAGTGACAGAGAGAGACTGTTAAAACCTCGCAACGTCATGCTTTTTAATACAATGCATTTTGCTAAGTTACTTGCAAAGCATTTCCTTTGTATATCTTACTTGCAAATGCTTTGTACTATTACAACAGCATCCAAAAGCTTTGCAAGCTTTGTTTATAAGGATTCAGCAGAGAGAGAGAGAGAGAGAGAGAGAGAGAGAGAGCGCAGTCGGGCGGACATCTCTGACGCATTTTTATCATTTTGGTCGAGGCGACTGGGGTCCTTTGAGTGTTGTTGTTGTTTCGTCGGCACGGCCAGACGGGGCGACGTTTGCCCCCGTTGCGGTGTTGCACTGCACTCTGCCGCCCGTCGCTCTCTGTTTGTTTGTTTTGTTACCCGATCTGTTTATGTCGACAAACTCAACAAAAGCGCGACTCGCGTTGCTGCGCGCTCGCCGAGGTGGGCGACGTCTTTTCTGTTCGTTATTGCTCTGGCCCCCAAGCCCCATACCCCACACTCAGCTTGAAAAAAAAAAACAATAAATATATAAGAGAGGCTTGTGACAAGTTTAGATGCGTAATCAGATTTCATTGTCCTTTTTTTCCCAGCTGATTACTGCCCAATTGTTTTTTTATTGTTTTTTTTTTCATTTTATGTTTTGCTCTCCGCCTGCTGCTTGTAAAAATAAAGCCCTCGTCCCTGCGTCTCGCTAACACGCTT